GAGGGAGACCAGGGGAAGCCACGCCCGAAGCTTTGGGGGACTCCGCGGCCGAAAACCGAACTAAATGCCATTGCCCGGCGAAGTGCCATGAGCCCTCTGGATCAAGTTTGCGGCTTGCTGATTCTAGGGATTGCTTTTCGAGCATTGCTCTATAATTTTGCGTTTTGCTGCGATCACCGCTTGAACCGTTGCCTGCCTCGTTGAACTTGTGCAGCTTCGAACCGCCAACGGTGGCGGAGTAGGCACATGCTACCTCTAATCCTGCACGACGACTACCAGTAGAAACAACAACACATCAAAGAGCAGTCAGATAGTGCATCAGAAGGCCGTAGCCATCGACAAAAGCATCATCTTCTTCAGCCTCATCTTAGTATCGGAGCAAGACGAGTCGGAGCAGCCAATGACTTGCAGTAGTGGTAATACTAGTAGTTTTTAGCAACATGAGTAGTAATGATAGTATATAGTCATGTTCATAATCATAATGTTTAGAAGTGTTTAGAAGTAATATTTTGACAATAGTAAGGTTTTCGGGCCTCGTACATGTTACTAACGAAGACTTCACACCCTTCTCTTCAACTGCCACTGTCATGCGGCCCTCAAGTACTGGGCGAACAATGACATGCAGTGCTTGACGTCCAAGGTAAACATATATGCACATTCATCAATATCACGCTGTCCGGTGTGTAGTCTTAGTCATCTATCTGCCAGGCCGAAGTTATTTGGCAGGGTCGTACAAGCTTCGCCAACTTGCATGCAAATGGACCCAGCCGATGATGGAACCGGTGCAGGCGCACTGGGCACCAGAGATGTCAGAGAACTTTAGCACGCGAGCGTTTTACAGCACAAAGGCCTGGTCTACTTCAGCCTTCAGGGTTGAGGCACAGAGCTGCAAGAGAGCTGGCAGGGTTTACAGATCGGAGACTGTGTATCCGAGTTAAGCCGAGAGCTCCTCTCTCAAAGAGGAAGCAGCACGGTTGCACGGAGCTTATTTCGTAAGAACTATTAGGAGTCAGTAAGAGTTTTCCTACAATGCCCGTATTTTTGAAGTATTATCTACCCGCAAACCCTGTGTTTATCATAAAGCTCCTAGAACACCTAGTTTGGGCCGCCTCCGCATGGATGTTGCGGAAACCCCTATGTGCCAACGCTCTGATTCAGGTGTCCTCGCAGTGTAAGATAGTGCTCTTGATAGAGCCTCCATGTCTGCTACAGGGTGCAGATGCGCAGTACTCCCCTTCCTGTCCAGCAAAGACTTCGTTTCGATCACCCTGGGCTTTTCAATTCCTAAACTCAAAACTCTCAGTGTGCGCTGAGCCCGACACCCCAGCGAGAGAGCCACACAGAGTGGTGCCGTAATGCCCTGAAGATCCCAAACCCGAAAGCCTACGTCTTAAACCAGAACTTGACAGATGTGCGCCTGGCTGTCCTCTTCGCACAGCAGAAGCGATTAAGCTCGCGGGCCCGTCAGGCAACCCTTGCAAGAGCAGACTCAATTCTCGTCGGAGCTCTTTTGCTTGGGTTTAGAGTTTAGGCTAGAGCCCCGAAATCCAGGGCAGCCCCTCTTAACGGGTTTGTGGTCGCATTCTGCAGCGATCCTTTGTTGCATAGGATCCCCCCTCTCCATCAAAAAAGGCACGAATTCCTGAATGTTCTACACTTCTGCATGTGCCACCTGGCAGGGATCTTGCTTGACCCTACATCCTAAACCCGAAGCAAAATCTCGGGGAAATAGGGGAGGAGATCCTGAAACAAGGCTTGGGGTCGCGGAGCGAGGGTTTCACAATAAAACCTCCTATAATGACTGGGCGATGAAATTATACAAAGTACATGCTGCTCATGTTTACTATCGCTATTGCTGGTACAAGTAGTTACTTTGATCCTCACTATTGGCCAGTACTATTCTGGCACTCTTTAACTATTTTTACTATTGCACTGACTGCTGCCCTTGTTGTTGCCGTTACTGCATTGCTACTGTTATGAGAGCGAGTACTAGTACTGTTGCTAGTACCAGTAGTACTACAACTACATAGTTATGATTCATTGTACGTTGCTAGTTATCATCAGCATTCCCCGAAACACACTGGCAACAACAAGAACTTGGTATTGGGTTTTTTGTCGGCGAGGGATTTGGTGAGTAATGGCCCGCTCTGGCACACTGCAGATTTTCGATCAACATCTTGTTTGTGCAGCCCCGCTGAGTTCGCGGCAGAATCTTAGCCTTGTGTTTACTGTTCCAACATTTTCCCATGCCTTTGCCAGGACTTCTTTATGCGCCTAGTCGAGGATGATGTGCCCAACAAGACAGTAGAGGCCGACTTGCAGGCGGGTGTGTATGCAGGGCGGCAACATCTAAGCCTTCCAAGCCATAGACCTTCATGTTGGTTTCTTAAACGGAGAGGGATTTTAAAGGGCTCTCCTGGAGCTAGCTATGGTCTTTTAGGTTTTTTTTCACGGTTTTCCTCGGTGAGCCGCTAAGTTGTATTACTGTAGTTAGTTGTAGTGGTGGCAGCAGTAGCAGTAGTCGTAAATAGTTTTAGCATTCGTAGTAGTAGGAGACCTCAACCATGTCCTACAACCCAAGTTTCCCAGAGCTTCGAAGGCCCCAGCGCAGCTGCCACGCCGGCATCGCCCGAGGGCTGCGCCAGCGAGGTGCACGGGGCGCTGTAGATACCCGTGCTGCTGCCTTTACGGCTTCCGATGCTAGCAGTGACTGTCGGTGGTACAGCTACCTACACCTACTTCTCCTGCCAATGCAATACCAAGACGACGACTCCACTACCACCTCCACGGCAATGACAGCACCAAAGCACAAGTGCTACAACAGCAGGAACAACCACAGTAGCAACCGAAGCATCTACCACCATCACTGACCACCACCACCGCCGCCACCACTGCTGCCGCCGCGCCCGTCACTGGAATTTTCTTGACCCCCGCCTCCTCTGCCATCGCCACCCCAGCAACAGCAGCAGCAGCAGCATCCCACGGCCACCACCACCACCGCCATCACCACCGCCACGATCACCACTACTCGTACCATTATTACCCTTGCCCTTACCCTTGCCCTGACCCTTAGCCCTGCCCGTTACCATTGCGATTACCATTATCATCAGCAGTAGTGACAGCATGCGGTGTTGCCTGTACCTTCTGTTGATGCTGCCGCAACTGATGAATGATTCGGCCTATCTTTACAAGCCCAGGCTCTGTCCTGTTAAATACCAGCTGAAGAAGAACACTTCCTGGTTCTGGCTACGGCAATGCATCGCACGACGGAGCAGGTACATGAAGGCAACAGCCCCGTATGTGGTGCCGGAAATCCTGACCCCCAGAGGCCCAAGCATACCCAGATGAAACCTCCCCAAGAAGTTTTACCACGCAGTCGAAAAAAGGGTTTAGGGTTTAGGGTTTGGGCTTCGCCGGGTCGGCTTAGGCCTGTAGTCTGTTTTCATACACGCCACTTGTTGCACAGCTTCGGGTTTCGATTGATTTTGTGAATTTTTAATGATCACAATACACTCAACTCGCATGAACAAGACCTGGCCTGTGCTGCCCTAGGCCTTTCTCCATGCAGTCAAAAGAAAGTTGCTTTTCGATGTGTATGTTTCTGTACCACTCGCAGCTCCTTCCCGGTGGCTGGCAAGGAAGGGCTAAAACGTCCTTTGCCCGCAGCTTTCCTTTCTTGTGAGTGTGAGGTGTTTGGTGTTTGGGGCTTCTTGGTTGTTGTTACTAGCTTTTCACTCGCCCGAACCCTAAACCGTCAGCAGTCTGGGCAAGGCCTTCGCGTCTAGAGCAGGTGCACCGCGACTGGGTGGAGCGATAGTAGGAGTTAGGGTCTTTTCGGATTCATTTTTGCTTTACGGGTTATTACAGGGAGTATGAGTCTAGGTTTAGTTCCTGTCCCAGTCCCCGTGAAACTGGAGGTGTAGCTTCAGGGCTGAGACCGGTTTCAGCTTAGGACGTGCGGTTCTTGAGCTTGGGCCTGCTCAGGGATAGCTTTCTGCTTGAAGGACGGAGTACGTAGCTACACTTTAGCAGATAGGTACCAGATAAAAGACTGGCAGCCCTGTAGCAACCTTTTCGGTTCGCAGCACATTGCCACATGCTAGATACCAGCGCAAAGGTAAGCCATGTAACTCCTCCACGTCCATCCTAAGCGGGAAGTACCACAAGGTCGGAAGCCTCAAGCTGCCCTGAACCTTCAACCCTAAAGGGTCGAAGTCGAGATGTCGATGATGCAAGTGAATCCCATGCTGACGGTGACTGAGTGTTAATATAGGGGCCTTAACAATTAGAATAGGATTTGGGGACCCATTATACTATAATCATAATATCGAGCGCCCAAAAGAGTTTAGGTAAGCTTTGAGCTGTTCTCCTTTAGAGAAAAGGCCCAGGAGGAGGCCACGGATGCCACTTTTTGGGGTTAAGGCACTACAGGGGGTCGAAGACCCAAGGCTTCAAGGAGTGGCTTCCTTTTGCGGATGGTGAGCCTGGTGCTGTAAATACTAATACCGGGTTGGGGGATTATTCCGACTTGTTGAGCTTTTTGTTTTCCTGAGCTGTCCAGGCTCGTTCGAAGCAGTGGGGCTTAGGGTTAAGGGCTAAACTGTCGCTACATGGCTAGATCATACTCGATCTGTGCATCGCAGCTGTTTGGCTTTGGAAGGTCGCAGGGGGTTTCATGGGTCCTCTGTGCAACCAGAGCATGGGGCTCTGGCTAAACCCTCAAAGCCGAAACCCTCAGAAGCCCTAAACTCGGCAGACTTAGCCCATTGAACTAGATAGCAGCACTCTCCAGTCCTAAGCCCAATTAAGCCCTAGGCCTAAATGCCAAACCCCAAGTCTTTGCGCTCAACTCTGCATGCCCTAAACCCTAAATCCTTAGCTTTGGCAGCAGCCATGGACCTGGATTGGCTCAGAGCCACCTGGCCTTGGCTAGCAACATGTACAGCAGCCCTGGCCACGATGCTGCAACTCGTCACCCGGCCTGTGAGTCTGCGTATAACATCTTAGAAATGGAGTAGTTGGTATGGTGTGTTATGACGTGACACGATATGATATAGTACGACATGGTATGACTCGCTATGGTATGGTGTGGTGTACTAGGGGGTGATATGGTCTGATGTCGTGTTATATTATGACATGTTATGCGATGTTGTAAATCACCGTAGTATAGTGCACCTGTGGTGTTCTTCTATGTTATGTTATGTTTTCTTGTATATAGTATACGTATAAAGGTTATGTTGCATTACGTGATGCTACACTATATTCAATTATATCCTGTTAACTTATATTTGTATATTTGTATGACGTTATATTCTATGACACAATATCATAGTGTTTTGATGCTTAGTATGGCTGGTAGTTTCTCATCATTACTATTGTGTTCCATTCTGTTCCATTCCATTCTTTTCTGTTTCTTGCGATAGCCTGTTATTCTAGAGTGTAACGTGTTACACTGTATTGTGTTGTCTTGTATTGTATTGTATTCGATTAGATTAGGCTGGATTTCTTACTTTGCTACACTAGGTTTTACCATCTGATGGTACTGTATCTGGTACTGTATGACATAGCGCGTTATATTTCATGGCTTCAAAGGGTGTGAGATTGTCTGATTGTCTAAAACAGAATGCGTTATGGTCTGTGTATTTTATTATAGTGTGTTTCGTTATTTTTGTAAATTATGTCCATCTGATCTGCGCTCATCTTCCTTTGTTTTATTTGTCTTGTCTTGCCTTAGTCTCATATCCTAATCTGATTCTTATCTTATCGCAATAAATTACATATCATCAAATATTTTTATTGAGTTACGGCTCAGGCTTTAAAGCTTGATTTCAGGGTTCCGTGGTAACTGCCTCGTTCCACAGTATCCCAATGCCACAAAGCCTCGAAGCAACAAGACTTTGTACCTAAACACAGACGGTTACCTGCTACCACTTCAGCTTCATCAAAGGAAGGGCCCTATTCGAGCAATTGCTTGACGCTTTCGACCTTACTCGCTAAGATTGGAAAACTTGCAAGTCGAGCATCGAGCCCTACATCACCAACCCTGAGCCGTAAAGCCTGGAAATCTTCAGCCTTGACCAACATGAAGCATAATACTGGTAGCTTATTAATATTGGCAATCTTAATAGCACCAAAATATTATGTGAACCCTAAACCCTAAACCCTAAACCCTGAACATCACGGTACATTGCACCTCGGGTAGCCAATGCAGTGACAGCAGCTCAGGGCTCGAAAGGTTTTTGAGGCAAAGAGTTGAGGCTGTTGCGTTCGGGGATTTAGGGTTTTAGGGTTAGGGTTCGGGGATTTAGGGATTTAGGGTTAGGGTTCGGGGTTTTAGGGTCAGGATTCGGGGATTTAGGGATTTAGGGTTTCCGGTTTAGGTTTTAGGGTTTGGGGATGAAAGCTGGATCCCCGATTATAAACCCCATGTCTTTGAGGGCCCATGTTTGGATGATCAGTGCAACATGTAGGGGAGGGGGTTGCCATCAAGGAGTCCAAACCCGAAGGTTGGGTACCTCGAGAAAGACTGTAAATACTCGGGTCCTCGTTTTCGGGATTTAGAAAACCCTAAACCCTAAACCCCTAAACCCTAGAAAACCTGCATGTCATACGGCTTTCCTTGGACTTGGTGAAACTTTGATAGAAGCCAAAGCCTGGAAGGCTAAACCCTGAACGGGCATCAGGGGCTTTCCTTTGGGCTGGCGACCAGGAGCCGAGAACGTCGTCTGCAATCGACCAGCGGATGTTGACGTCGCCTGGCGGGTCATGAAATGTAGGAGCCTCCATGAATGGGTGAACCTCAATACCGCGTTGTTTCTAGGGTTCAAGAGTTTAGGCTCTTCAACTTTCGTTGGTTAGTTGTATATAGTTGGTTTGGGTCTGCTGCACCAGCAGACACTGAGCGGTTAGGCTGAATAGGGCATTTTGGAGGTTGTCACAGGTTGAGCAAACGGCCTCCATGTTTGCAAGGAGGATCATCTTCTTAATGCTTGCTCCTTTCGTTTTGTAAATCATTGCATCGCTTTTGTCGTTGTGTTCGAGTTTTAAAGTTGAAATTGGGTTGGACTGGAGGGTGCCTGCGTGATCTTGTCGGCTTCACTGCGCGACTTGAGTTTGTGAGACTCGTTGTTCCTATTCATCTACTACAAAGGCCTAAATAATTATCAATACTTGTGTGGGCCTCCTTGTTATGCTTATAGTTGAACATACCCCAAAACCCTATTCTAAGTATTAAGGCCCCTACATTACTCTTCAGCTTCAGGCTGCCTCTTGAGGTCTCTTGAAGGTACCTGTTCTGGGAGCAATCGTTTCAATTTCTGGCCCCCCAAATCAAAGGTTTAGGGTTTAGGGTTTAGGGCCCAAATCAACATGAAGGGTTTAGGGTTTAGGGTTAGGGTTTAGGGTTTAGTGTTTAGGGGCCCCGCATGACAGCAACGAAAGCCGCCTTGTTCTTGCGCATCAAAACTCCTGGCAGTCGCAGAAGCTATGAAACCGCGCAAAGCCCACGCCCGGAACCCGGAGTGCAGCCTCCAGGCACCGCCTGAGATCTTAACCCCAAAACCTCATGGGGCGAAGGCCTACCGAACTCCTGCACCCCAAAGCCTGAGCCACACAGAGTGGCAACCCTCCCGGCTTATATAGGAGCATTGCGAGCAAGAAGCTCATGTGACACAGACCAGCAGTGCGCATTGTGCAACACATTGCCACTCTCGTGCTTATCTTCGCAATCTGTGCGAACAGCGACTGTATGAGTGATGATAATCTTGTTTAGCGTCAGGAATCTTATGCGTTTGCCAGCCTCAGCCCAAAACGCTGAACGCCTGTCCTTGCGCTGAAGGAACTTAGTTTAAGCTACCATGATCGGGATGTATAGCGACTAAGATGTTTCCTCGGAAATGGGAACTCAAGCCAAGCTGGTAAGAACCTCATGGAGCTATATACAAGCACTCTGGAATTCTCTTAAACAAACAAACGAACAATCTTCAGGAAACCCTAGAGAAGAATCATACACTCTAAACCCCTAAGCCCCAAACCCGAAATCGTTTATTCCCCAAGGTTGATCATAGCCGGGCGTCAGCTCTGCCTCTCCGTGAGTCTGCAATCTGCCACCCTGTTCTTCGTGGGTCTGTACCAGTTCCTCAAAGCGCAAGAGTGTAGTTTAGGTTTTAGGGTAGGATTTAGAGCTGATCTTAGCGAGCGGCAAAGGTTTTGGGGGATATCGATTGACCTTGAAAGTTGGGGGTTTATGGTCTTGGGGTTTAGGGGTTTAGGGGTTTGGGGTTTAGTGGTTTAGGGTTTAGGGGTTGAGGGTTTAGGGGTTTAAGGGTTTAGGGTTTAGTGGTTTAGGGTTTAGCAGTGTCCGGGTTTCTGGATCTGGGGTACTAGGTGTGAACTGGGACCTTCGCTCACAGTTCGGAACAACTTCCAATATGATTCCTTTCGGAAACCGAAACCCGCTATGAAATGAAGGGAAGCCGTAAAAACAAGCCGTCAACCCTAAACCCTAAACCGATCGGAGAGTAGGCTCTCTAGGTATTACGGCGCTTCGCAAGCCCCTGCGTTTTCGTGCAATCTAGGAAGGGCCCCAACCGCAGAGTAAGACAATACAGATTACAGGGGCACCATCGAAATGCCTGCACTACTGTCACCCGTCGTTACGGGCCTCATGCCGACTTCTAGTATCCTGCGCACTGTCTATCTTGATATGAGTGCGACACCATTCTTATAGAAGTCTTAACTGTTCCCTCGCTCCGAGACCTCACGACCCATCGGCAGAAGGATCCGAAGCAAACTGCCCCATGACCCCGAAGCCTAAACCCCCCAAACCCTAAACCCTGCACAGCCCTAAACTCTAAACCCTAAACCCTAAGCCCTAAACCCAAAGCCCAAGACCCTAAACCCAAAGCCTAAATCCGAAGCCCCTTGCGGTTCATCTCCAAAGTCAGAAGTATCATAGCCTTGGCTAAGGCATAGTCTCAATCGACTCCTGGCGACATTCGTTGCAGCAGGAGTCGTACTAGTATTCGGCGTACCCAAGAATCAGTAATCCCAGTCCCAGTGGTTCCTTCGATCGCAAAAGCCTTCTTGCCTTGATCCGAGGCTGCTGTTGGCACCTGTTAGACGGCCCACCAAAGATTTCCATAATCCAAGATCCAGCCATTTCAAGGCCGTCCTGCAGGGTGGGCGGCTTTAGGGGTTTAGGGCATAAGAGGTAAGGGTTTGGGATGTTGGGTGTGGGGGTTCATGGCTTTGGTGTGGGAATGCCACACCACCAACCCAGCTCATGACCCTAAACCCTAAAACCTATAAACCCTATAACCCAACCCTAAACCCTATAACCCTATAACCCTAAACCCAACCCTAAACCCTATAACCCTATAA